AATAAAAAAAAAAAAAAAAAAAAAAAAAAACATGGTACTGGCAAAGAAACAGACCTGAAAACCAGTGGAACAGATTGGAAGATGCAGAAACAACTACAGACACACTCAGCCACCTTATCTTCAACAAAGGAGTTAATCATCCTCACTGGAAGAAAGATAGCTTCTTTAATAAATGGAGCTGGAAAAACTGGTTTTCAACTTGCCAAAGATTAAAACTAGATCTATATCTCTCACCATGCACTAAACTAAAAAAGGATTTGGGTTTTTAACAGAAAAGACCCTCAGAATCCCTTCCTGGCAAGTGAGGTCTATTTCTAGAGTTGGAAAAGCCATAATAAACAATGGGGCAACAATGGCATATGAGGCAGGAAATTTGGGCAGAGACCCAGTAGCAGATCTTAGGAGCAGATCCCACAAAATGGGAGAGCTGAGATTGCTGGCACTCAAGATCAATTAGCCTAGGGGCTGCATCGGCCATGACATGTAGATGAAACCTAACCAAAATGGATGAGGGATTTACAGTGGGAAGTAATGGTGTTAGGAGATCAGCTCTGTCCTTAGCTCTCAGAAAGCCACACTGCCTCCTTTTATGTCATGCCCTCCTTAATGTTGGTAGTGGACTTGGCCCAGGCCATGAGACCACAGCCATGATTTTCCATCTGTGCAGAAAGGTTATAGTTTCTCAAAAAGGAATTCTGCCAGGGTATGGATTGCTAGACATCTTTGTCCGCTGTTGGCCTCTGTAGAAGTGACTTGACTAAATGGAGCAAAGTGATGAAGGGATGCTCTTGGAAAGAGCAAGTCTAAACAGGATCAACATTGAGGCAGAGCAACGCAAGGAAGAATGGGATGTTCTTACCGTAGCATGGTAGGAAAGGATAATTGAGCAAAGTAGTGAAGAGGAACATGAAGACAAGTGAGTCTCTGGGGATTTAGAAAAGAAACCAAATCAGATAGTCATGGGCAAGGTGAGAGGGCTGCAGAGTTATTACAAACCTGTCTTCAGGTCCAAGTTGTGCATTTTTAAACCACAGTCCTACCCAGAAGGCCAGAGAGGAGCAAAGCCCCAGACGATTGACTGTTCATGAACTGGGAAACTCCAAAGATTTGGAGCCTTCTGCACTTATAACATTATGAAAAACATGGCCCCTCATTGGATGTTCCAGCCCAAATTGAACTGGTGAATAAGTAGGGTAATGCCTATCTTTGGTCAAACTCTTGCAATGGAGAATGGACTTAAAGAGATAAAGTCAAGTTCATACTTATCCTACATTCTCTGCCATAAAAACTGATCATTAAGTCAGCAGAAAATAAATTTAGTACTAGGACTCACCCAGTATGTAAGGAGGGTCAGCATAGCTTCCCTAGGCATGAGAAATCATCATTATCTTTGTCTCTGAAGGTTTAGTTACCCAGTGATGTTTCCTTTGCTGAGGATTGAGATGCAAAATAAATTGAGGAATCGTTGAAACACAACTACAATATGACTATGAGTATGTCTAATTACCTGGCATGGAGCTTTTAGGCATTAGAACACATGTAGTAAGGACTGATCCTGGATGTGTCTTCAGAAATCTCAGAGGAAAGTTATTTCTTTTTAGTACATAAAATGCTTCCTAAAAGCATTATTATAGGAAAAACTTTAATTAGCAGAATCTTTGATCCTGCCCCAACCTACGAAGAAGTATAAGTAGATGCCTAAATCCACTGCCTGTGCTCATCCTACTCCTCATCTCAGCATTCCTTGTTCAAATTGAATGGAGTCATGCTCTGGAAGAGCTATCTGGATTGCAGATTATCTCACCTGATAGGGGTGATTTATGGCATGTTGATCTCAAGCATTTTGATGCAATGCACAAAAGGGTATAAAGAAGTATTAAAAAGAGTCTTCAGTCCCTGGGCGGAATCTCATTTCTAAGCCAGGCTGAGATCACCAGATGTCAGGACAAAGAGCTCTTTCTGGATTAGATGTACCTAATGAGGCTAGATTCAAAAGATAGACAGCTTTTGAGATACTCAAGCATAAATAAATCAGTAGGTGAGATAATCTTTCTCAGCACTGACTTTTTCTGTTCCTGCCAGGATTCCATGCCCACCCAGGGACTGAAGTGTTGCTCACCTCAGGTTAGTCACTTTTTTTCTTCTCTGTCTCTCCAACACATGGGAGAATATATGCATCATCCATCAAATTGAGATGATTTATCAGATGTCCTCAGATTTACCGTAATACAGTACTCTCTCCCATGAGCATGTGGCTGCCAATTGACCTCATCTATTTGTTCTTCAGTTTCCTGATCTATTAAAATTGGATGCTGGTGACCTGTACCTATCTATGGGGATGTTTTGAGGACAAAATGAAATTTAAATAAATAAGGTACTGGTACTTAGCTGGATGCCTCTCTCATAGCATGTGCTCCAGAACTAGTGGGAATCATTTTAAAGCCTTTAGGAGTCTCTGACCACTTGACTTAAGTCAGAAGACATTGAGGGGCTAGAGAGAACAGGTGGTTTAGGATGTTCAAGATGGGAGGGAATTTGGAAGGAATCCTGGAAATGCAAATGAAAGGTCTCCTAAAGACAATACCTGGTTACTTCACAGGACCCAAAAGTGAACCAAGATTCATTGTTGAACACAAGAGCTTCAATATAAAGGAGCTGCACCTGTGCACCCCAAACCTCTATTGTCACTAAGATTTCTGTTTCTGAGTATGTCTCACAACAAGGAGTGCTAGGTTCAGCAAGTTTTCAAAGGGCGCCCATTAAGTGGTATACAGTAGGAAATGGAGAACCACCCATCATCTCTGGGGAAATGGGCAAAATCTGGTCTTTTGGGAGATCGTTAAACCACACTCAGACATTTCAAATGTGCCAAAATGACTGTCTTGCCCCCTGGATGTCTTCCCTTTAGTTAAAGAAATAAAATTTAAATGGAAATTAAAGACATGTGTTTCTGAGAATTTACACTTGCTTCACCAAACCTATTGTTTTCTGAGATTGTTTGAAGTCTAATAAGAATAATGAGCCTTTTAAAAATGTTTTTTAAAATCCTTTTTTCTTAGGACATTTAGAGGCTTTGAAAGTTATTCCAAGGGTAAAAATAATAGATTAATAATAAGTTGCTCAAAACTCTCAACCCCTGAGGGTTTGAAATTTATTTAATTCTCCAAACCCAACGGGTATGAATTATTACTAGAATCAATTATCTCTTTTTATGGAGTTTTACAAAAATGAAAAAGAAACCATATGGAAGGTCAATAGAATATGTTGTGGAGCTTGCTTCACAGCTATGTGCAAAACCCAGACTTCTGGAACCTTCTCAGCCAAACCCCCAGAGGAAGTCCCTCCTACCACCCTGCTTGGCTGCATCAGTTGGGCTATATGGAGTCTGAGAAAACTGACATTTCAGCCTGGATTATTTTTGACCAGTGGATCAGAGCACTCCTAGAATGGTTCCCTTGTAGCACATACATTCCATGTCACGTTAAATGGGTGATACATTACTAAATGTCTGTGGAGTGAAAAGAGAACAATTTTTCTTTCAGGAGTATGCAAAGGAGCAAGCCACAGCACCCACTGAACTCTCTACGTTGTCATCTGTTGACCTCTAGTGGCAGAATTTTTCCCCGCCGCGTGAATCAGTGCTTCTGAGCCAAACCATCCCATGCTACATTTTCCTACATTCCCTTCCTTCTGTTTTGTCATTCACTTTATGCAAGGAGCAAGAATCAGTTGCAAACACCCAGGACAACGTGGTTCATGTGCCTCACCAGGCTGTCATTTCACAAAATTTGCCTTCCCTTTCAGGGATTCTCTGATACATTTCCCATAGCAAGGAAGAGAAGCCAACATGAAGGAAAATGTGACACCCACAATGGTTTTCATCCTGCTACTTTTTCTCAACATCAGACTTCTGAATGGTGAGTAAGAGATGTCCTGTTCACTTTTATTGGCTAGGATTTTATCAAGAGTATGGAAAGGACATTGCCACCTTGCCAACCAGTTATGAAAAATGAAAACATTCGTGTCATATGGTGCTCTTAAATTATTTGCAACATTTTTGCATTAAAATTAATGCAGAAGATTAGTGCAAAATCTTATTCTGTGCTTTCTGCTTTCAGTCCTCATTTTGGGGTTGTCATGAAACAGCTCTGAGAATGACAGGATTTGAATTTCAGTCCAGTTTCTGTCAATTGCTAGCTGTGTGAACTTGACCCTAATTGCCTACTCTCTCTGGGTTCTCAAATTTTCAAAGTTAGGATAGTAAAAGAAAACTTTAATATCTATAAATGGATGTAGAGATTGCTATTACATAGTGGAAATGAGGTATGGTCAACACTATTATTTGTGCTCATAGATGAAATAAAGTCCACAGCTAAATTAGAAAGTGTGTGCTGTGTATTATTTCTGTGTGTCTATCCTTGTGCATTTCTGGATGTGCATATCTCTGTATGTACATATGTATACATTAACTTTTTATGAGGCTTGGCTGAACATGTTTCTCTGAGTGCTCCTGTCTAGGTGTATGTCCATCTGTGTGTGGATATATGTCTGTATATGTATAAGTATTTCCACATGCTCACATTATGTGTACATGTATGTATAGCACTGTGCACCACCATAAGTATGTTTCACTTATATTTACCTCTATGTATATCATATGTTAGTGCAGATGTGTATAGTGCATGAATGTGTATACATCTCACATGGGATCTACATACCTGTATGTGCAGTGCCTGTGTAACTGCCCTTGTGCATCTCTGCATTGAGACAGTCCAGTAAGTTTAGCCATCTTGTCTAAAGTTCATAAAGAGAACAATTGACTAATCATAATTTCACAACTTTACCCTCTTCTTTTGAGTTTCCTAAAAGTACCATTAATGACCAGGATAATGTGAAAGATAAGCTTCCAGAGAGAGAAAAGAAAACAGAGGTGAGAGTAATCCATAAGATAAATTCTAAGTGCTCAAATGATCAGCAGTTGTCCTGATTGGCTTCAAGTATGCTCATTACTGGACCAGCAATTTTGAGGTTTTACAAACTTTCTATGTTACATGCTCCTACCTACCATTAATAGAAACAACCAAAAAAACTTTGCATTTTCACCATGACTCCAGAGAACACTATCTTGCAAGAATCTCCCTGGAAGATAAGCAATATTACAAATATTGGCAGAGCTGCTCCAGACCCACATGAGAGTTCTCAGAAGGGCCTGGGAGCTGGAGTATAGCTCAGTTCCCACTGACAAACCAGCCTGGTGTCCTGGGTTCCACCCCATGCTCCATTTCACGTCATCCCTTTAAATTCTTCTTTCTGATCAGGTTGCCTAGAGAACCCTCTTCCCATCCTTGTCTATTTCTGAAGCCCTGATGCTTCACTAGAAGTTCTGGCCTAAGATCTTGTGTGTGGATGGGGACGAGGGTGAAAGAGAACAGAAAAGACTCCTGAGCTGCTGGGGCCAGCCTCTGAGAGCTCTTCTGTCCCTTCCTGACTTCTGGACTAAATGTTGGGACCTCAGGCTGGGTAAGAGGATATGCAGCTGGAGTTACACAGTCACACTTGGCCTCCCCAGCCAAGCTATACCAAGGCAAACTCCCAGGGCTGTTCCGCTCCTCTCTGGACCTAACAGCCAAGGAAGCCAGCTTGCCTAGAGCTCTGGAGATTAGACAACTAAAAAGTCTTATCTCATTGGCATTATATTTTTCACATCACCTCATGCAGACCTTACAGTTGAGGAGCAGACAGTGCTCTAACACAATCCTAGTGGTTACAACTTGAAAGGAACTGCCTGTCACCTATCCTACCTCCCACCATGGCCTTCATTCCAAAAAGATTCACGGAATTAAAAGAAATCCACACACACACACACAAAAAAAAAAACACCCTAAGAAAAGAGGGAGAAAATATAAGAAAAAAGGGGAATAAAAATCAAGATTCAGAAATGACATCAAGTAGGAGGGAGAGATAGGCAGTAGGACTAGTTCATTAGGTCAAAGCTGAATGCCATCCAGCAAAAGGGAAGGAAAGGACATAGGGAAGGGGGAAGAGGAAGCAGCTGAAAGTCACCCAGATAAAGGGAGCATCAGTGTAACAAGGTACAAACAAAAGATCGAGACAGAGAAGAGTTGGAACTGTGGAGTGGCAGGAAAATTGAATTTTGTGATTGCAGATGTGCCAGAGGGCAATGTATCGGCACAGCATGCACAGGTTGCTTGTACCTGGAGAATTCTTTTTACTGTCACCTTTATACTGTGGGACAATATCAGCCTTCCAGACTCCGAGATTCTTCAATCCCCATATAATCATCTTGTTCCCAGGCTCGCTCTTAATTTAATTTCAGTTAATCATTGGTCCTGACATATGCTGTTGGTATCTCTGTCTCAAAATACCAGCACATAGACCACCACCACCACAAAGTGCACTCGTGCGCATGCTCTCTCTTTCTCTCCCTCTCCCTCTCCCTCAGTTTCCTTCTCTCTCCCTCTTCATCCCTCTCCCCCGCTTTCTTTCTCCCCCTTCCCCTCTCCCTCCCAGTCCCAACACCTGTATACCTCACAGGCAAGAGTTACCAAGGTGGACATTTTGAAATTTCTGAGTACCATGCCCCTAGACCTGTTCGCGCCAAGGCCTCATTCATCACTGGTCTGGGTCCAATCAGTTTGTGTGTATTAGCAGCAGAACCCTCAAATGATGGAATAAACCTCAATGTTGACTCCAGTGGCCGTGCTATTTTTTAGGAGAGTCACCTCCTGGAAAACCTGTCATCTTTAAATGTCGTTCTCCTGAGAAGGAAACGTTCACGTGCTGGTGGAAGCCAGGAACCAACGGAGGACTTCCCACCAATTACACACTTACTTACTACAAAGAAGGGTAAATGTTTTCTCTCCTACCAAATTCACAAGACTATCCACACACTCCAGACCAAAATAGCATTAGTTCTGATTTATAATTACCACATTTCCCTGGACTTATACCAATCAGGCCCATACCATTAAATAAAAAGTCTTCCCACCTTTTACAAACTCTAAATCCACATAAACCCATCATCAACCATGGCAACAATACAAAAACAGCAGTGTTTCAAATTATCTGCCACAAGGCTGGGTATGGGGCAACCCAATGCCCCATGCAAATAGTTCCTAAATGTTAATTAATCTTAGATGTTTATCTATAACCTTGTGACATTTATATTTTTTTCTTAGTAAATACATTATTTTTGCAATATATGATTATTATGTAAATTGATGCCCTTAGTCCTTGACAAATATGGTACATTAGATTTTCAAATTTGTTTTATGTCCAAGAAAATAAAGAATACTGTAAGAAAAAGGTGGTGAGGATTTTTCTTTAGTAAACTGCTGATCCAGAATCAAGGTCTCCTGGAAGGTGTATTTGGTTGTAATATCACAAAGACTGAAGGTCATTTCTGGGTGAAAATGTTGTTAAACTTACAATGAGACCTTCCTGGAAATCTTGGAGGAGCTAAATCTTTACACTGCCTCTCCCCAAAAGGGCATGTATTTCTAGTAGAGACAGTTGGTCCACTTTTCAGCAATTCTGTTTGGTTTTACACAAAGCTGTCCTCCAATCTGAAATCCAGAGGGGTGTCATGCAAACAGATTTCAGTGAACGAAATCAAAAAACAAAATGGTGAACAACATTGAATAAGCCTCTGTACCTGTGTGGTATGTCCAGAAGTGAGGCTCCTCAGTCAAAACATAAGCAATCTAATGAGCTACTTTACGCTGAAATATCTGCTTTCAAAGTCACTTGACTCTGCTGCTGACTTGATACCACTTGAAGTATACTGACATTAATTTTGGTCCTTCTGAATCCTCTTTTGCAAGTGTAATTTAACATGTACATGCAATGCCGCTGCCTGGTAGATGGTCCCACTGTGTGTGTTGCATGTTTCCTGAAGTGACCCAATTACAGTGCTCTGGATATGGCAGTGCCTTGGCCATTGACAGCTCCGAGATTTACTGGTAGGTAACATGAATCACAAAGCTCACAAAAATACCAGTAGAAGGGAAGCATTGGTGAGAAGCAGAGAAACTGAGGCTCTAAAATAACCTTTTTTACCTCATTTTGTTCCTTACTCCATGCTGATGTGGAGCACAAGGACCTATTCTTCTGCTCTAGTTTTTGCAGTTTGAATGCCTGATAAACCAGTGGTATTGATCTATTAAGAAAAAAACTAGACTGGTCATTACTTTTTATCTACTCCTAATATTTTACTCCTTGCAGAGAGAATATCATCTATGAATGTCCAGACTACAACACCAGTGGTCCCAACTCCTGTTATTTTAATAAGAAGTACACCAGCATATGGACACTATATGTCATCAGAGTCAATGCCACTAACAACATGGGAAGCAATGCCTCAGATCCACGTTTGGTGGACGTGGCTTACATAGGTAAAGGGAAAAGCAGTGGGTGGAGGATATGTTATTCCATAATTTGTTACTCATACCAGTCCGAGTCTTGTTGGCTTATGAATGGATTCCTCAAAACAGAGATGAGCTTATTCACAACATGTTGTCAACTAGCATTTCTAATTAATTTTTGCTGTTGCACGATTCATGACAGTAAGTGTGGCATGAAAGACTTGTTTTCTTATGGTTTCCCTTGACCCTAATTCCCATCCTATTGTTCCCAGAATAAATGTTCTATGTATGTTTCATGCTTCACACTTCATCTGATGCCCCCATCTTCCCTAGGAAACTGGCAAAATTGAGATTTCTCTTCATTCTCCTTCTGAAATATAGAGCTATTTCATGAAGAAGCAATTCTGAGAAGTTTATCTGGCTCTGCATCCACAGAAATTGCTCCATTTGCTTTACCTCAAACTCGATTCTTTGCATGTATATGCTTCTTAACAGCCTACATTATTGTACAAATAAAAAGCTGGGGAACAAATAGTGTGACTTGAGCAGCAGGCTGAAGGCCAGGATCACAGGTACAACGTTTAGAGAAGCCATTAGCCAAATAGGACAAATAGCTTGAGAGATGTCCCTTGCTCTGTATAATCAACATTAAGCTGCAGGGCAACAGGGCATAACTACCATGGCTTTTGTAATTAGGGAGGATGACAAGATGAATCCTAGGACAAGAGATGGCTTGTCAAGGACCGGGTTCATTCTTATCTTGAATAATAATCTGTGAAGCTAACTAAGTCTAAAGTCATCTAAGTCTTCTTGATTTACCTAATGCCACACAACAAGGAAAATCAAGCTGGGACACTCCAGTATCCACTTCTATATCATCCTGTACTTACAGGAATCTGAGTTGTGCCTCCTTCATTTTTTAAAATTATGGTAAAATACACATAACAAAAATCATCATTTTAACCATTTTAAAGTGTGCGACTTAGTAGGATTTGCTCATTCATAATGTTATATACTCATTATCTAGCTCCAGCTGCCAGCTAAGTGAAAGAAATAAGCTATTTGAGATTGTTTCCTTCTAATCCTATCACCTTAAGTGGAAACTTCATACCCACTAAACAGTTACTACCTATTCCTTCCTCTCCCAGCCCCTGGTGATTTTAATTTGTTTTCTGTTTTCAGAGCTTTGCTCAGCCTGGATATTCCATATATATGGATTATGCAATATGTGACTATAGACACATGTGTTTATCCATTTGTCAGTGGGTAGACATTTGAGTTTTTCCACCTTTTGTTTATTGTGAGTAGTGTTGCTTACTGATATACATGTTCTTGCTTAAACATTTCTTTTCAGTTTTTAGGAAT